AAAAAAAAAAAAAAAAAAAAAAAAAAAAAAAAAAAAAAAAAAAAAAAAAAAAAAAAAAAGGATGAACCTCAAAAAAGGGGTTAGATTGTTTAAGCAACAAAGGCAGACCTTCTTGCAGGTAAGAGGTGAAGCCAAGAAATAAACGCAATCAGTATTCCGCTTCCGAAATTCTTCCCCCATTTGGTATTCTTCTCAAAACTCGAAGGAATTGGAAGGAGGAGGAGAAGAAGAAGAAGACGAGAGAGCGTGTGAGAAGTGAAAAAGAAGCAACAAAATCATCGTCATAAAGGGCCTTCCATTGAATTTTCGATTTTTGATTTTACATGGCGGAGATCATTTTAAATTAAATTGTGTTACCCAAACCAAACAAAAATTAAAAAAAATTAAAAAAAATTAAATCTTCTATTTATTTTCGCATCCAATTCCATTTAATTATCTTACAATAATGAACTCAATAAATATATATAGCTACGTTCTTTATTATTAATGAACGTTAAACAAAATTTGCATGAAATCCTTCAATTAAGATTTCTTAATATATTAATTACATAACCAAATTTATATAAATTCATTATTTATCCATAATTTCTAATTTTTACTTTCTTGTCATTTAACTAAAATATATATATAATTTATCTAAGATTTTAGAGTGAGCATGAGGAGAGTGAGCCTATCCAGAGCTATGCCCCACTGACCAGACCTTCATTTTTGTCATCCTTCTCTTCAACGGTTGACAGCGCTTCACTGCTCAAAAGGTTGACAGCGTGACGGATTTACAATAATGTAAGATTCTTTCCAACTCCCTTTCATTTTCACTATCAAATTCAATCACCGCACTTCCTGGAGCTTCTCTTCCTGTCTTACCTAGTTTTGCGCCATACACTATTTGCTTTGAATGTGAAGAAACCCAGAGCCCCGCTTCTTCTTAACAACCTTTGTACTTCCATGGATTCTCGTGTAAATATCATGTCTTTCTTCATATTTTAATCCTGACAGATTTTTGGGTTTTTGGGGCATGAGTATTTGATGCTCCAATCTATTTCTTTCCACCCATTGAATTATCTATCTGTTCTGAGGAGAAATATGGCTGCTTAGTTTGAATCCCACTGAAATTCTTGCTCTTTACATAAAGGATGCTTGATGGAGGGATGGCTATGCCCTTTTATGCACTGAATTGCCCCGCACCTGTTCGACGAAATGCTAACGAAAGCATTACTCGCTTTAGAAGGAGATTAAACCCGTATTCATCTCTACAGATTTTCTCTGTTGTTCAAACGGATGAGAATGATAACTTACCAGTGTCCAAGAAGATATCAACTCCAGGAAAGTCTGTGTCAAAAGGTCGAGCTCCTAAGCCGCTTCTTGTCCAGCCAAATACCGTGGGTGTCATAGGAGGAGTATCGGTTATTTCTACTCTACTTTTCTTGGAAAAGCTCGTGTGGTGGAGCTTGAAGGATGGACAACAGAGCATACCATTTGTTGTCTGCAGCGATCCAGCATTAGGCAAAGGGATCCCCCCTCTCACTTCATTGACTACATTCCCCGCAAATTCTTCTCAACATGCTCAGACTGATGCTCCCATCATCGAGATTTTGAAGCAAAAATGCGTGTTTCTCGAGCAATCTGGAGCTCGGTGCCTAATTACACCTTGCCATCTTTCACATAGGTGGCTTAGTGACACAAGTTGTAAATTACCTTTCCTTCATGTGGGAGATTGTGTTGCTATGGAGCTTAAAGAGGCTAAGCTTAAGCCACTTGAAGCAGGGAGCAGTGTCCGGATTGGGCTGCTTGCGACTGATGCAGCTATAGTGACTGGTTTTTACCGTGAGAGACTACAAAATCAGGTTTTGTTAAATACATTCAGATCTATTTAGTAAATGATTCCAGAATTTGGTTCTGATTTCATTTTGTTTCTTCAGGGCTTTGAGGTTGTCTTGCCAGACGAAGCAACCATAAAGCATATTTTAGTTCCTGCAGTTGAAGCTTTGAACAAAAGGGATCAGGAAGGAGCAAGAAATCTGTTGAGGATTGCTGTTCATATTCTTTTGATAAGGGCTGTGAATATAGTAATACTTGCTTCTGATGAATTGCTTAATCTTCTTCCTCCAGATGATCCTATTCTGAAGAAATGTATTGACCCCATGGATGCGTTGGCCAGAGCAGCCATTAAATGGTCTAGATCTACAGGAAACTTACATGAGAAAGCTTAGCCTTTTCTCTCTTGTTCAGAAGCTGCATCATTTATGTATTCTTAGATAAGAAAATTGGAGCTATCAATGGCTCAAAACTAGAAGCTCTACTTTTTCCCTTTGGTAGAAACTAGTATGTGAAGAATATCCACCTGCTGCATTGTATTTTCAGACAATGAAACAAGAAGAATTACAAGGATTCTGCCTCAAAGGACTGCAATTACAAGAATTACAAGAATTACAAGGACTGCAATTTGTTTGCAAGGAACAATTGAATATGTGCTGTCAATGCCATTGCCCAGAGCTATGCAACTCGAACTAGCCTCACTAGCCTCAAAAGCCAAAATGCTACATCAAACTCAGCCTGGAAGGTTGATTCATATGAGTTTCAGCTTCATTTTTCATTGTCTTGATAAGCCCAAGAGGAGATAAGTTGATGAGCGATTGCATAAGGGCCAGGAAAGAACATGGAAGCAAGTCCACCATCTTCAGCGTTGATATCAGCAGACTGACTGTGTCTGCTTTCAACTCCGTTGCACAGTTGTTCGACTTTGGCTGCTGCAGATCTTTGCGTCTTCTTGTAGTCGCTTAATGTTAAAGCTTTCTTCACATCTTCTCTGGTGTGCCATTGGGCGTCTGTACACAAAGTTTCAACCAATTCAGATCCATTCAAAGTGATCGAGAATTTCAAGAGGAGTTGTCTTAGAAAGAAAACTAGAAGTGGCGACATTATAATGCAAATAATGTGAACATTAGTCGATATACCTTCTAACTCAGCCTTGTCCACCTTGATATCGAGCGATTTTGCATACGCAAAGAACCCAACCATCAATTGACACGGCATTGTGCTTCGTCCAACTGAGAAAGAATTACAATTTAAACGAAGATTCAAACTGATGGCCTAAAAGAGAGATTAAAGATATATATATCTCGATGAGAAACATGAAAAATGAGCGTTTTTGTTTCGAAAGTACCAACAGATAGTGCAAAGGTGTGGTTAAGAAGCTGTACTTTCAGAATGAACAGACCTGGCCATGGCTGAGAACTGTGATAGACCACCTTTCCAACTTCAATACCAGTCTCTTCCAATGTTTCTCTTATCACAGCTTCTTCCAAGCTTTCTCCAGGCTGATGACAATTACAAAAGAAAATCAATGAATTCTCTCGTTCATGAAATACATGTAACAAACAAGCCCACCGCTGGCAAATATCGTCCTCTTTGAGCTTTCCCTCAAAGTTTTAGAACTCGTCTATACTAGAGAGAGGTTTTCACACCCCTATAAGGGTGCTTTGTTCCCCTCTCTAACCGATGTGGGATCTCACAATCCACCCTCTTGAGAGCCCAGCATCCTCACTGGCACACCGCTGCTCAGATACCATTTGTAACAGCTTAAACCCACCGTTAGCAGATATTGTCCTATTTGGTATTTCCCTTGTAGGCTTCCCTCAAGGTTTTAAAACGCGTCTACTAGGGATAGGTTTCCACACCCAAGGGATGTTTTGTTCCCCTCCCTCAAGGTTTTAAAACGCGTCTACTAGGGATAGGTTTCCACACCCAAGGGATGTTTTGTTCCCCTCCTCAAGGGTTTTAAAACGCGTCTACTAGGGATAGGTTTCCACACCCAAGGGATGTTTTGTTCCCCTCCTCAAGGTTTTAAAACGCGTCTACTAGGGATAGGTTTCCACACCCAAGGGATGTTTTGTTCCCCTCCCTCAAGGTTTTAAAACGCGTCTACTAGGGATAGGTTTCCACACCCAAGGGATGTTTTGTTCCCCTCCTCAAGGGTTTTAAAACGCGTCTACTAGGGATAGGTTTCCACACCCAAGGGATGTTTTGTTCCCCTCCTCAAGGTTTTAAAACGCGTCTACTAGGGATAGGTTTCCACACCCAAGGGATGTTTTGTTCCCCTCCCTAACCGACGTGAGATCTCACAACACATGATATCATACTACAAATAAACTAGTCATATTCATTAGTGCTAGAAGTCTTATTCTATCAAATGTATTTCTATCATTCTTCTTGCCATTGGCAAAGAAAGGTACCTCCATAAAACCAGCTAAGCAACTCCATTTTCGGGGCACATATCTCGATTGCCTGCTTAAGAGTGCGCGGTCGTTCTCCTGGTCAATGACTAACATGATAACAACCTGCAATGAACAAGATCAATAGATAGCCTTCAGTATGCAGAGGTTCAGCAATCATAAAAGCAAAGGATTATGATCTCACAGGATCGACACGAGGGAAAATCCTCAACTTGCATGACTGATTGGAGCATTCCCTTCGCTTCCCAGCTTCCATTGGGACTGTCCTTTCTCCACAATGCCCACAGAAACGTGATGTTCTATGCCAATCTAGCAAAGCCCTGCCCTGAGCAATCAATCGAACAAACCAGAAAGGTACGCACAGATTCAACCACATTTCAAGTAATTAAGAAGTTTGAGAAACGATGTTCATACTCCAAATTGAAAAACCAATTCTGAGCACTTACATGACCAGCAATAGCCAACTGTCCCATGGCCCATGTATCCGACCAATTCGTGGCTACCATGAGCATTCGCAGCTCGATAAAATTGAGCTTCCTTTGACCCAATTCCGCATCCAAATTATCCGCGCCAGAGAAATCAGTGGCCCAATAAACAGCATCGTCTTCAACAGAAGAACCGAGATAAACCAACAAATCTTCTGTTACCTTCGACCCAGACAAGGCCAATAGACTTTCGCAATCAGCCAAGCTGATCCAACCGAGACCCCACCCAGACGCCAAACCACCGTTCCTCTTCCCGCCATTGCAAGAAACCAACGGCCAGCCCTTCCTGAAGGGCAAAATTTTGAAATCTGGTGAAGATAGCAAAGGGGTTTTCGCCAGAAGCTTCGATTTCAGCGATTCGAACGACGAATCGGGTGAAAGGGGATTTTCAGGTTTGGGGGTTTTGGATCTTATAGGGTTTCGCGCAAAGGCATGCGACTGTAAGTTAATGGACATGGAAGGGGTTCCGGTGGAGGAACAGAAGGTTGCTCCATTGAAGGAGGAGTTAAACGGCGGGAAGAAACGAGACGAAGCAGGAGGAAGATGAAGCAGTCGAGAAGTCGATTTGGATACAGTGAGGAATGTTCTTGCGCCGTTCGCCATCAGAAATCCAAGGCGATCAAAATTCAAAAAGCAGTTTTTGTTCATTCTTTTGAACTCTACGTGGTTATGAGGTGTCCAATTCTCCTTCACAAATCCCCTCACTTGAAAATTCACCAACACCACCAACGTCATCCAACCAACAAAACAAAACAAAATTAAAACAAGCCTACTTCAGTGAAGCAACGAGAAGCAAGAACAACGGATGAACAAAATGATGACGATGAACAAGTTCAGGTAAGAATTTTCCATGATAAGTTAATTGGAATCTCCAAAATAAACAAAATCTTGTTTGTAGCCACAAAATTAGAGTTGGGTTTGACTCAGAATTTGAGGGTAATTATTAGAAGGGTGTTCTCCATTAATGTCCACTGAATTGGGGCATCTGGTTCTTATCTATTTTAACAACTTATTTCTTTGAGATTATGAGTCTTATCTTCTTAGGAACCTGCCTGCTATTCACACAGATTCTGAATCTTTAACCTTTCCTCCTGCTTCAATCTCATTTCAATTTGATTTTGTGTTTATAAAGCAACCATCCACATCTCATCTCATCTCATTCAGTTCTGTTCGAGACAGACAGAGAGCAGCGTTGAGGATTATTGGGAAAGAGCTCGTGCTCAAAGTGAATAATATCATACTATTATAGAGAATCGTAATTCCTAACCAAGTAACGCTGTGTTACAATGATGGAGGAAGTATATGGCCTATTCTAAGTGCTTACATTATTATTGTTAGTCATTAAAAAAAGAAAAAGGCAGCATTTTGATAGGAATCAGATGCCAAGTAGGCGATATAATCGCATAAACAGAGTCTTCCAAAATTCCTTCTCGCTTTAAACTGCAGCACCTGCAGCGCCCAGAGTTGTATTACAGACCCAACTGAGCTACAGCATCAAATATTGTAATTGATATGAACTTACCGAAATCTCTTGGCGTTTTGCATTTAAAACACTCTGTCCTGCTTGCATAATTATGCACTCCGCATCCCATTCTGTAGAACACAACATTACGGTTTTGGGTAAGGAATTTGAAGTGTTGTGTAGGTGAAACTAATGCAGATTGTTGAGTGTGCGTACCTTGGGCAAATCCAGTCTCCAGATTTCCATCCAGGCGGGATAGTTGCATCAGATCCATACTGATAGGCAGCACAGTCAGAAGGATAGGCGGACTTAAACGCACCACATTTAAAGCAGTTGGGGCGGCTAGCGTAATTGTGAGCTCCGCAGGTGAGGGTGGTGCAGTACCAGTCTCCGGCCAACGCCTCCGTGTTGGTGTAAGTGTAAGTTGAAGGGTCTGGGCCTCCATACTTGGGGTAAGCGCAACGATGGCAGGCTTCTCTTTTCTTGAAGTTCACGTTCTGGCAAGCGTTGCATATCCAGTCTCCTGATGACCAGCTCATTCCAAAATAAAGAACTCAGCTTTGATGAAGAAAAGGAGGGTTGTGTTGGGTAATTGGTGGAAGGAGATTTAAATTTTGGTATTGTTTGGTGAGGGGAATGGGGTGTTTATATAGTTCTTCAAGTTCTTGTAGCGTTCTATTGTTCTTTTGTTCCTTTGCCTTTACACAAATGGTTTCCTCGTGACGCGATTCCCGAAGTTGAAAATTTTTTACTTTTTGTTTTTGTTTTGAGTTTCATAATCGATGAAGTTAGGGTTATTTATGGAAGTGTTTGATTTGAAGTTGAGATGCTAAGTAGGAATGGCCTCTAGAAGTGGGGAATTATCAAATTCCCCATCTACTATGTTTATTATTTTTTATATATTCCATGCAGACTATTATGTAATATAATATATTTTCATCACTACCTATCTATCTAGAATAGAAGAACTCACCCGACTCAATCTATTTCTTTTATTTATTAGTAGATATGTTTATTTTATTCGGTATCCGCCTCGAATAGCGAGGAGATTTCTAATTAGATATATGGAACTGGGGAAGAAGGAGAGAGTGGGGAACATTTTTTCCCTGTTAGATAAATGGAGTTGTGAACGAGATTATACTTTTCATCCCCGTCTTTGCATAATTCCCTCATTTGTTTAATATAATAGTTTTATAAGCAATATACTATATTTTTATATTCTAGGTTTGTTACATTAGGAATTTTCTTCCGAGATGTGGATTTTATTGGGTGATGGCATGTTTTTTTTTTTTTTTTTTAAGTTCAATTGTTTGTGTGGGTGAGAATTTAAACTTTTCACTCAATGTTATAATAACCTAATTAAGATGAGAACTTTTCTTAAAAGTATTATCCCTCGTAAATGTATCCCATTTCACGATTTTATATATATATATATATAAAAGAATTTCAATGTAGCTTTTGCTTTAAATATTTGGGAGTGTTGTGAGTTAGTTTAGGTGCATCTCAACTAATCTTACAGGACAATTATTTGTTCTTGTTACATTTGATTGTCAAGAAAATAGGTAGGATATTAAATTTTAGGTAGATGACCATGTGAACTCCATCTCAATATAATCGAGGTTGGGATGATGAGAGTTTATGTAGGAAGTGATAGCTAGCTAGCTAACTGCACATCAACGCACTATAAGAACTAATGAATACAATGCCTTTGTGTTGGATGACGTTTGTTTGGTCCAACGGGGACGAATAAGCCTTCCCCATATAGTTTCATTACAAAATAAAAAGAGAAAAAGAGGGGTTAATTAAAAAAAAGAAGTTGTTTTCTCGAAGAAGTTGTTTGTTGGGGTATTATTAATATAATTGCCCCTTCCTATTTTCTATTGGAATCTATTCCTATTTATTAAGTGCTCATCCATCAACCCTCCAAATTTCTCTTCCTTCAATAATTCAACAAAAAGATGGCCACTCCCATTGCTTAACTTATATGCATGCATATGCAGATTCGATTCCCAAATTTTACTTCCATTCGACTCGACTCGTACTGTGAGATCTCCACATCAATTGAAGAGAAGAACAAAACATATTTTATATAAGAGTGAAAATCTTTCCCTAGTACACTTATTTTAAAACCGTAAGATTGATGACGATATATAATAGATGAAAGTGCTGATGAATTTAGGCGATTACAGATGCAGTTAACAATAATATTGATGTGACATGACATGTCTATTAATATTTCAATTTATCCTATCATATCAAGTTAAGTTTACGAAGAAAAAAATATTTATTTAATGAGTATTCTATGCCAGTGAATTGTGTAAATGCCTTGAAGTGAATGAAAACATAAATTTGATATCGACCTACTCTAATAAATTTATGTGTCGGATCAAGTTTTAGGGTTCAAAGGTAATATTGACTAATAAAACTATATTCTTACATAAAATTGAGGACTAAAATAAAATTTATTATTTAAAATTTTATAGATATTAAAATAGAATTAAAAAGTTTTTTTTAAGCAAAATAATTTGTTTAATCGATGAAATTTAGATTTCATAGTTTTAATACGATGTTTTAATTTTTAAATGACAATACTTTGACGTTAGGAGGAAAATAATATGGATTAAATTTAAGAAAAGTTGAAAATAATTAAATTGGAATAATTGGGATTGCGGCGAACCGACGCTGGGTGGAGTTCATGGGTCAGCGTGACAACTTTACAGAAATATCAAAAAAGTGATTTATTACTTTACTGTATATATATATATTTCTTTAAATTTGGGAATATTATAAATTTTATCGTCTCCAAAAATATGTATATATTATCCATCTATTTATTTATTTTCTACACGTGCATGCACGTATGTAAGGGAGCTATTAATAAATACAACAATGGTACACGTGGCGGTCGTACATACGGTTGCTAAGTTTGACCTAGCATTTGATAAGGAAGAATAAAAAATAAAAAGAAAAAAGGTGAGGACAAAAATGTAATAACCAGAGAGAGACAAGGTGAATATTCCAATTAAACATGAAAACCTTAGACAAATGCAAATGCAAATGCAAATGCCCTACCATTCCCAAAGCTCTCTTTATTCTCTCCATTTTCCATTATTATTATTATTATTATTATTTGTAAAAAAAAAAAAAAACAAATAAATAAATAAAATAATTGAGTGTTTTTAAAAGAAAAGGCAAACCCCTTTAATAATACTTGGAGAATCCTCATCCCAACACTTCAAAGCAAAGATCCCTTTATATATTCCCTCAATCTGAATATTCCAATTTTCCATTTCTTATTTGGCTTTTCATATCCTTAACCCTTATTTTACCCTTTCTTTATATGTAATTTAAATATATTAAAAATAATTTAAAGTCCAAAACTAAATAAAAAATCTAAGTTAAAAAAAAAAAAAATTCAATTTCTAATTGGCACTTGTCTTTGGCGGGTAAGGTCCGTACAACTACATTTCAAATAATAACGACCCTTATCTTTTGCGCCTTGGATTTCAATGATTCGACGGCTCTCGATGAGTCTGTCAGCGGTTATGCCATTAGTTTTCTTTGTCAGAATGATTCATTCGGGAGTCAAGCCGGATTCTTATACTTTTCCTTTTCTATTCAAGTCTTGCGCGAAGCTAGCCTCTGCCCATGGAGGGAAACAGATTCGTGCGTATGTCTTGAAGCTTGGGTTTGGTTTGATGTGTATATTCATAATTCGCTCATCATCAATGCCCATTTGGTGTTTGATCAAAGTAATTTAAGGGATGCAATTTCTTTCACTGCACCAATTGCGGGTTACGCTATGTGGGGTAATACGGATCGCGCACGGAAAGTGTTTGATGAAATGCCTGTTAGAGACGTGGTGTCTTGGAATGCTATGGTTGCTGGCTATGGGCAAACTAGTCGATCCAAGAGGGATCGTTAATGTTTGAAGAAACGAGGAAGGCAAATGTTACCCGTCTCTGTTCTTTCTGCTTGTGCTAAGTCAAATGCTCTAGATTTTGGAAACTCGACACGCTTTTGGATTGAAGATTTTGGGCTTCATTCGAATCTTAAGCTTGTTAATGCACTTATTGTGATCTTCAGACTGCTCGTGAGTTGTTTGACGATGCCTGAAAGGGATGTGGTTATTGGATCATGGAAGTCCCACATCGGCTAATTTAGGGAATGATCATGGGTTTATAAGTGAGGAATACTAACTTCATTGGTATGAGGCCTCTTGGGGAAGCCCAGAGCAAAACCATGAGAGCTTATGCTCAAAGTGAACAATTTCATACCATTGTGGAAAGTCGTGTTCGTCTAACCGTGGTCTCATGGACTGTAATGATGTGAGTGTGTTTACACTCACAAGAGCAGCTATACATGTTTATATAATCGTAGACTTCGACTCTGCCAGCACCTCTCTTTGGACGAGTCTGGTCGATATGTATGCTAAATGCGGCAAGATGGCAGCTTTTCCGATCATACGACACTTCACTTAATTTTGCATGTAAACTCGGTTGCCGATCATGTAATCGTAACCTGCTATAACTTTTTATTTTAAAAAATATATCCAAGTGTAGTTCCCAGCAGTAAACTCTTCCCCCACAGTGGAATTTGAGCCTGTGGCTGATGAACAAACTACATCTTGTGAGAATCAGATGCAGCCAAAGCTGGTATGCCCTTTGTGCCGAGGGAAGGTTAAAAAGTGGGTTGTTGATGAGCATGCTCGTCAGTTCATGAATGCAAAATCAAATTGTTCTTGGGAGACATGTAACTTCAGTGGAACCTATACAGATCTTAGGAAGCACGCAAGGAAGGAGATCCTCTTGTTCGTCCATCAGAAGTCGACCCAGAACGACAGCATAATTGGAGACGACTTGAGCGACAAAGGGACCTGGGAGATCTTCTTAGCACACTACAATCATCATTTGGGGAGGATAGGGTTGATGATGATAGTATTTTGCCCATTGTTGATGGGGGCTGGCTCACAGTTTTTCTCCTTATTCGAGTTTTTAGACCTGAATCCGGTAGGAGGAGCAGCAGTTGGTCTAATGTATCTAGAGCTAGAGAGCAACCAAGTTATAGGAGGAGAGAGTTATGATTGAGAAATAGGATCATCTTCCAGAGACGAAGATAATGACTCTTCAGACGATGGATCAGGATCGTCGAGGCATCAAGATCGCACACAGCGACAGACAACACCTGATAATCCACCTTGATGGTTTATATTTTGATTCTCATGCTGTAAGGATGGTTGGTTAAACAGGTTTGCTCAATCTGTGTGGCAGCAGGTATCAATTTCCCACAATTTCCCACATGGAAAGAAAGATGGAGGCTGTTCCTTGCTGCCTTTATCATGTGTTCCGTTGATTCTGGATCAATTCTGGTTCGAATCTTGTAATTTACTGCACCTCCAGTCATTTAATCTCTTTCTAACTTTCAATAAAATTACTCTGTTTTCACAGGAAATGGTAAATTCAGCCTGGACCATCCATCTTCTATGTCAGCTCCTTGGATATCCAGCCTCAAACAAACAAACACAAAAGGAGATTCTTGTTTTGATGATGGATATAATGGAATAACTAAACAAACAACATTTGGCGGTGTATCTTCCTACACACTGGTATGTAGCCAAGTATTTTTTTGGTTCATATTATAGCTCTAAGCTACATGAACGCTATATAAATGCAATCTGTTAGCTAAATGTGTCTCTTAGTTGAGCTCAATTTCACTTTTTCAGGTTCAACAATGTATACTTGAATCATGAAAGATCACCCAAAATGTTAAAAGGGTCGGGATGACTTCTAACCGGTGAGATTTTATCGGTTGGTTAATTAAGCAATAATCTAAGTAAGTTGTAGTTCAGGCGGATGTTCAAACTTCTAACTTATTAGGTAAAATCATATATTACAAAAAAAAAAAAAAAAAAAACTATGCTTTACTAATGCATTTGAAGGATTGTTTAAAGTTCATTCCTGCCCACCAATCAAGGAGTGTCACATGATTATATACATATTCAACAAATTGGAGCCATCTAAATAGAAATTATTTTGGGAAATTAGGGTGGCCCACTCGTAAAAACAACTCTCTTTAATATATAATTAAAAAAAAATTAATTACTAATCGTAGATATTTATAATTCAATTTCTATAGGAGAGACTTTCAATTGTGTATTTAACAAATCTTTTATCTTATCGGGTAACTATTTTATTTTTATTTTTAAAAATTGTGTTTAAAAAAAAAAACTTGTTTTTTTGTTTTTGTAGTTTGACTTTTGATTCAAATATTTTTTTTAAAAAATGTAAAATTGATGGCAAATGCATTGAAAAAAAAAAAGCATAAATTTGAGAAATAAAATACTAAAATTACTTGATGATTAATTTAAGCTTAAAAGTTTGAGGAAGTAATTAGAAGGTTTGAATAGGTTGGAGTTGTTATATTTTACCCTAACAAGTCATTTTCCAAACAAAACCATATATTTAATAATTTTATTTAGCAGAATGAAGCACAATATCATTTATTTGGGTGTGCACCAAATCGAACGTCTGGGAGCCCACCCATTCGTTTATCTTCTTTCTCATTTGCCACTTTTATATTATTGATGTTTCTGTTAATAATTTCTTCGAAATTCCTGAGCTTTTTCTTTCTCCCATCTCGCCGGAGATCGACCCTACTTTCTTTTATTCCTGTTTTTTCTCCGATGGGCAGAGAAGGGTAAGGTAAAAAGGGAAGGGAAAGTAAAAGTTAGGAGGTTTTCTTTCTAGATTTTCAAGTTCAGATTCATTCTGGAAAGATATTCTTGCGAGAAAAGAAAAGAAAAAAAAATTGAAGATGGGAGCAGAGAGCACCTCGGAAACGACCCCCGTAAGTGGAGATTGGAACGAGAAATACGAGACCCAGGTGGTGTTGAACGTTTATGATCTCACCCCTGCCAACAATTATTCTTATTGGTTTGGTTTTGGGATTTTTCATTCGGGTATTGAAGGTGATTTTCGTATCTGCTTCTGCCCTCTCCCCCTTTTCTTATCTTCCTGATTTTGTTTGGTGTTTGGTGCACTCTTTATGTTTGTTAAAATGCATCTGATGCTCTGAAGAAAGATTGTTCAAACCCTTCCTCCTTTTCTTTTGGAATTTCTTCAAGTATTTGGTCTACAATGGAACTGAATCAAAACTACAGAACATTGATTTTAAACATCTTGTGTTAATGAATGAACTCCGAATCATCTTCCATTGTCTGGATTGGTTGATCTGAAGCTGGTTCTGGATGTGTGGAACATTTTCAATGAGGTGTTGCAAAATCTTTTCTTGTAGTTGCCATTGAAATATCCGAATCATCAGGGTCAGCGAAATCAGATTTTGTAATGTGGGTTGTTCTTAGAATCTTCCAACTGTTGTAGATCTTGTTTTCTTCTCTGATTAGCCATTGAATATTTGGAGAGAAATAGAATCTCTTAAGTTCTGTGTGTGTTTGTGTTTGTGTTTATGTTTGCTTTAGAGATAAGAGAGGGTTTGGCGTGATCTCATCATGTTTCTAAGATTGAAGCATTTTTGGATCAAAAGAAAGGCTTCCAACTGATGTAAAACTTAATTTATGTATGAAAATTCTTGATTATAAGTCAGAATTTTCAAGTCAATGTTATGGCTATTGTGAACCTAACGTGTGCATTCATTTAAACCCAACGTGTGAATTCATTTAAGTGTGTTTGGTGTTGCTCACAGTCCACGGTAAAGAGTATGGGTTTGGAGCTCACGACTTCCCTGCTAGTGGAGTTTTTGAAGTAGAACCAAGGAGCTGTCCGGGTTTTATATACCGATGTTCTGTCACGTTGGGAAAACTTGATATGCCTCCCTCTGAATTTAGAACGTTCATTGAAACTGTTGCCTCTGAATATCATGGAGATACATATCATCTTATTTCCAAGAACTGTAATCATTTTACTGATGATGTCTCCAGCAGATTGACTGGGAAACGGATACCTGGATGGATCAATCGGCTCGCTCGGATGGGTAGCAGTTTTATCCCTTGAGCTCTCTTTGATTTCTTCCCAGCACACCATTTTTCACTTCCTTTGCATTCATCTTTTCATTGAATTCCTCTTGCCATTATGTTGATGCCATTGAAACCTATATACTGCTCCTTTTCTAAGAAAACTTGAATAGAAACTTCGTTTTTTGCATACTTGTCTGCTTGAATTGATTTTCCATCCAAATATGTAAAAGAAAAGTGATGATGGTTTGTTCCTTAATTGTTCCATCCTCAGTCATTACTATGATGCAAATAAAAGAAGGAATGATGATAGTTTACTGTTGTAACTTCACTCGAACACGTTTGATGGGTATGGATGTCGCCCGTTTGACATCGAACTCGGTCTCTGCATGCATTTGCAAGCGTAAAAGTGAATTCTGCTAACTTCCTCTGGTGAAAACTTCAGGTGCTTTGTGCAGTTGTTTGCTACCTGAAAGTCTTCAAGTAACTACTGTCAAACAACTGCCCGAATACCACGAATACTCAGGTTTGTGGTCTCTTACTTGAATGTTTTATTTTTCCTCCTTGGGTTGATCTAGAACTTGTGGTCTGATGCAATACGTATGTAGTTAAAAACTTGAATCCAACGAAGTATGCTGTTATAAGCATTACCATTTGGGGTTTGTTTCCTCCAGAGGAAGAATGTACCACCGGGTCTCCATCGCTCGACACTCGACTGGTCTCGGCAGAAATTGTGGAAGATGAAGATAAGCGGCTGCTGACAGTATCAACTGGAATCACAGATGTTGCTTTCGTCCCAGAATCTCACAAGTGAAAGAGAGCAGAGAGGCAGGTGTCTTCTATTGCTTGCAAATCGTATCTCCCATGCCCGCGCCTAATGATCTTGTCTCCATTGCAAAAGTAAGAACTGTTTGGCTTCTTTGTATTAAATGTTTGGGAGTGGAATTGTTTTTATTCCGTAGATAGTTGTACTTCAGCTTTAATTGGCCCAAAGAGACATAGAGATCACTTTGAATGTTGTTTTGCTTCCATATCCTTTGAAATGATCGCAGTATTGCCTCGATTTGCAGAACAACTCTCAGTTTCAATGTTATATTATGAGTTAAGTTACATATTTGATCTCTGATACATTCTTAATAAATGTTGCATAAGAAATAACATTGATCTTTTTCTATTTCTAATAATTATCTTAATAAAAAAACATCAGATATGGCAGAAAAATCAAGTTGAAAATGCAATGATTGTTAGAATGTTTAAGAAGTTCCTAAACATTTTTAGAGCTCAAACATCAAATACATACAAATTAAAGTTCATATATTATGATTTATAATTATGTAATAGTTCTAGTTCCTCGCAAGCAGATATTGTCTATTTTGACTCATAAATGATATAACTTTTCACACATTTGTAAGGAATGTTTTGTTCTCCTCTCTAATCGATATGGGGTCTCACAATCCACCCCCTTAAGAGCCAGCGTCCTTGCTGATACACCACTCGATGTCTACGCCAAAAGTAGATATTGTCCATCACCATTAGCCTCACGATTTAAAACGCATCTGTTAGATAAAGGTTTTCACACCCTTATAAGAAATGTTTCATTCTCCTCTCCAATTGACATGGGATTGACATGGGATCTCACCGTTCTCTTTTATAAACATGTCACAACCTAGTGCAATAAAATATTTATAACCTCAAGATAAACATAGTATCATAGGGATTACCAAAAGGAATTTTCTCATTCATATAATAATGTTTTAAAAAGGGAGAAAACTTCAATATAATCAGATTCATCGTTCATCTCACAATAGTTAAGGTACACAAATTTGAGACAAAACTGTCTGATGGAATATGAAAGTAAGAACATGAAGCAAAATACGCAGGAAAATGATATATAGTGAAGAGTAACACTCAAGTGTGGGATAAAGTAATCCAACTTCCATGGGTCAGGGTATCTCTGCAGGTTCCAATCTTGGTGTAAAAACCATATCAAATATAGGTTCAGAAGGAATGTAATATATATATATATATATATATATATCACACCAAATCTGTTCCCAGTAAACTGTAGGGCAAAGAATTTGTCTAAACATCACAAGTAAAGATGGTGCAATTTGAAGAGCTTTCCCTTCCTCCCTCCTCTATAGCCCCAACTTTGAAGTTAACCAGGCGCAAACCTCATCCATCTCTTCAGGAACTGTGTAGTGCCCAAGTCTGTAAACAAAACACGACCCGATATCAAACAACACGTTACTTAGTTTCTTGATTTTAACACACACAAAGTCACATACGTGTTGTAGGATTTAAACGTAACGTCTTGAAATCCACATGAACGTAATGCCTGTGAAGATTTCTCTCCAAATTTATAAAGAACCACATCATCAACTGCAACACGTTTCACACCAAACCATTATCAGAAATGCAACAAGCTCAAATTTGTAACGTAATATTCTGCATGAACAATTATAAATTCATAAATACCTTTTCCATGACATAGCAAAACAGGCAATGATCCCGCTCCACTATTACTAGCTTTCATCTCTTCCATCTTGCTCTTCAAAGTCCTGGAATCACCACGATAACTCGTTAAATGAAGCTTTCTATTGATTTTAAAAGGATCAAAGATTGTACAGATGACAAAATTAAGAAGCCAACTTTGAACATGGAAGCCAGCCACTAAGCCCCACAACTGCACTCAAATTGGCTGGATAAGGATTGCCATTCCCATATTTTCCCAGTGAATGGCAGGTCGCCGAGTAAAGCGCAGTAGCTGCTCCCATACTGAACCCTCCTACAGCAAGCTTAACTGTAAAAAAGATTACAGCAGAATAACGCCAACAATCAGTAGAAAAAGCAAAAACAAATAGTATTTAGAAGGGCAAGAGAAACTTACTGTCAGATGGCTCTGTTGATAACAAATATGCAACGTGAGCAGCTGAAGCATCCAACCCCTCTAAATCATCTGGACCATCTTCTGAAAGATCTTCCACATCAAACCCTGGTTTAACAAGAACATCAGTCTTGAATATATAAGATATCAGTCTTGATGCTCTTGTTATTGTAAAATACATGAATAACAACTAGACTTTGCAGCATGGAGATCCCGGTTCAAGCGACGTTGAATAATTAAAGGAAAAGGGATTTCAGTAAAGCTTACAAGCAGTGGAAGGGAAGCCACCAAATAAAGCTATCGGTCGAGTAGGTGCAGTTGGACATATCCATTTAATCTGCATCAATAACTCCAAGTTTAAATTCATCTTCCCACCATGGAGAATAGCAGTGTAAATGCTTATAAATAGTTTGATAAGCTTCATATTCTTACATTTGGTAGGGGAAGGGTCTCCAAGAGCTGCGACCAGCTGTCGAACAAAATCAAAACATTGCTAAACATAATAAAAACAATTAAGAAAAGAACAGAAAGAAAGAAAGAAAGAAGAAAACCTTGCGCCATTATCACCAAGACCATGAAGCCAGACAACAGTAGCTTGGTGTCTTCCCTTGGGCCTCACTACATGGGTTTTACCAAACTCAATTGCCTTTCTGGCAGTTTTAACACCTGAGGAGACGATGATACAATCAAGCAACAAAGTTCAAGCTTCCACAAAACAATATAATGTAAAGAGAAGAATGCAGAGGGATAAGTTCATTGACCAGAGACAACGGAAGAGCCAGCAAAACTCATATTCGCAGTACAAACGGCCAAGTGAACCGCCACCTGAAGAGATTGCCCCAGAATGGATCCTGCCGTAGCTACCTATGCCAAGAAATGGGAGGTGTTGGAATTGTTTTGAGAAACTTGTTGAATTAGAAATCATCCAAGGACCAAATCTCCTCAAACACCATCCAAAAACAATGCAACGACGCCACTTTAATCCAAGGTTAATAATTCATTTCATCCTTCCGACTAAAATTTCCATGATTCAGTCCCCTTTCAACCATCCAAGGAAGAAAGAGTCGAGAATGAGAGATGAGGAAATGCAATAATAGTAGAAACTATCTCAAATTTCAAGAGGTCGTTCAAAAATAAATGCATTTCAACCCAACCCCATGAAATTACAACAATTTTTCCCGTATGACTAAATCCCAAGAGCAGCAAAAAAGAACCCCACAAAGTCCTCAAAGAAACCACCAACAGAACACAACCCAAGATTCAGAAACGACTTCTCACCATCACCAAACCATCCCATCCCCAAAGAGAAACCAAAAAACCAAAAAAAATGAAGCCTCGTGTATTTCATTCAAAAAAATTCAAGAAAACGAATCAAAAGAGGAAAAACATCAACAACCCATGAAGAAATAATGAATCTGGAGGCAGAAACCAAAAGGGTATCGAGGAGGAAGAAAGTGAACCTGGGTGAAGGAGCCCGAAGTGGGTGTGCTTCTGGCTATATTTTCTTGTTGTCGTCGCTGTAGTGATTTGATTGCATCTCTTTCTACCACTCTGTCTCTATCTCTCAAAGTTTCCTTCTTTTTTCTTTTCTTTTTCCTTTTCTTTTGGAGGGCTTTGTGGCGTGTCCCCGCCACGCCCGGTCCGCACTTGTAGTTTTAATTGGCATAGCTGCAGCGCTGGGCTGGGGAGTGCCCAACTTTCCCCTCTCGGCCTCTCGGGCCCCCTCCCATCGCCTACGTGCTACACTTGGGCCTTGACCTTTCCCTCTTCTTTCTCCAAAACGGTATCACTTTCACAACCTTCGCCACCTGGCATGTATCCTTATCACTTTGCATCTGCCGTCCTAATCTTACAACGTTTTAGTAACGTTCTTTGTGTTCTGAAAAACAAAATGTAAGAACTCCGCCTTAGATATAACTTTCAATCATGTCATAATCGAGGATCCAACTCGATTTATAGTTGACTTTTTTTTATATCTAAAATTCTTGTGGGATAACTACATGACTATATAGTTACTTTTATGTTCTTCAATTAATCTAGAAACAATTGTCAAGGGACCAAGCTCCATTAATTGACTTGATTATATATATTAGGAACCATGAATCTCTACGAATCTTCACAATGATATGATATTGTTCACCTTGAGCATAAACTTTTTTAGATACTAAAAGACCTTATATCAATAGAAATAATATTTTTTATTTATATACATTTTTTTTTTTTATCCATTAGGTGACTACTTCTCTCAATAATCTTTAATAATATACAAACGGTTATCGAAGATGTTTGTAAATACACGAGAGTATAGAAGATGTTGAAAAACGTTTGTTTGAGTTATTTGGGTGTATAAACAAGATACACATTTTCCTTTCACATGAAAAGGCCTATGGTCATGCCTTTAGTTGCCCCTCAAGCAGCTTTTCAGTGAAGGCACCACCACCACCCCAGCTTGCTTCATTCATCATTCATCACTTTTGTCAACTCTTGGGATTTCAAATCTCTTCTCCCCACGCCATTTTTGGCTCCTAAAGCAAAGCCTGATTCTCTCCTTAACTGAACAAAACCAATGAAAGAGCAATTGTATATAAGGATGATCTGCCATTCCTTTCTCCTTCCATTCACCCCCAACACTACTTCCCCTTCACAATGCATAGGTCTTCAAGCACGTCTCGAAACTTCGACGAGTACTCGGTCGACATGCCACCGGGTTTCACCAGCTCCCCACCATTGAAGAATGAAGCCCCTGATCTGTTGCCACTGTTCAAGATTGATACCCCCAAGAAAGAAATGGGGCCACATTTTAAACCTCCTGGACAAAATGCAGTTCATCTCATTCCTCTCATTCTGCTTCTCTCTGCTTTAATCCTCTGGATTTGTTCATCCAGGTAAATTTTGAGTACACATCCATAATGTAACTCATTACTGCTTTATGATTGTTGGTTCAAATAAAACTGCACTCATTCTTTAAGAATGAAAACTGAAACGTGTATGATACGAGGAGTTGTTGGCTTGAAAGCAACAGATACAAAAGGCATAGCGATATGTATGAAGTTTATAACAGATTTAGGAGAATATTGTTTGAAAAGAGGCAAAGTTGGGTTGATTATGATCTATGAAATTGGTAGATCAGGGAGAGAGATTAACGTGTTTCTCAAGGTAATTTCAAGCTTTAAACGCACACATCTCCAAACTTTGCCCTCTCAACAACACCTCATTTGCTTTCACCCTACTCAACCTCCACATTACACAACTACTTGCTTCACTCAATCTACTTACTTTCACCGCAAGTCTACGGTTGCTAGATATTGCCTCACAATTTTAAAACGCGTCTACTAGAAAAAGGTTTTTACATCCTTCTAAAGATTATCATAATTCACCCCTTTTAAGGTCCAGCGTCCTCTCTGGCACACCGTCTGATGTTCACCTCCCTTTAGGGTCGAGCATCCTTGCCAATACACTGCCTGGTGTCCATTCCCCTTTGGGGCTCAGCGTTCTTGTTGGCACACTGTCCGGTGTCTACCTCCCTTCGGGGTCCAGTGTCCTCGCTAGCACACCGCTTGTTGTCCACCCCTTTGAGACTCAATGTCTTTACTGACACGTCATCCAATGTCTGGCTCTGATACCATTTGTACGATCCAAACCAACCTCTCTCTGTGAACAATTTTTTTAATGAAAAAGAGAATAAAAAAAAGGAAAGTGTATAGTAAAAGTTGTTGAGTATGACTGTCATAATAGTTAGCATATTTTAGACATGTTCTTTAGAAAGACAAAGACAAATCTTAAAAAGATAGAAAAAGGGAAAGAAAGTAGAGAATGGATAACAATAATATTACTGATGTGAGCTTTGGATCTCAAAGTTACTGATGTGAGCTTCAAAGTTACTGATGTGAGCTTCAAAGTTACTGATGTGAGCTTCAAACTTACACACCCATTCACAACAGCCAACATGTTAAGCCTTCTCATTCAAGTCTAACAATATTCCAATTTTCAATTGTTTTATTCTCTCGTAACACACTATTGAACAAATAGATCGTATTAATATACTCAATAAAATGAGTATCTAAATGATTATAAACCATTTATAACAATTACTTGAGAATTTCATAAAATTTAAAAGAATTGATAATAAATATTATGATTTGGTGGCCAAACCTACCAAATTACTAAGCATTTGCCTAGATGTTTGGTATATGATTTGGCGAATGAAATTTGATTATATAAAACATGGAAAGTTTTCATTTTTTTTCCTCTACATCTCATTGCATAAATTCCATTTTAATTTGACCTAAAAATTAATTTAATCCATTTTCCTCAAGAACTTAATTAAAACCCAGAAATTTCAATTGGGTATAGTGCTTGGTTTGAAGAAGAGAATGATGAACAGGCAATTTCCAACTCAACAATCTATTCTTGGGCTGTTTGTTGGCAAGTTGAGCATAAAAACCATACCATTATTCTTTGTTTATTTATTAAGTTTTATTTATTTATTTATAAATAATTCTTTTTCTGGGCCTTCTTAGTATGGCCTAAATATTAAAAGCAAATCACGCTTAATTATCCAATATAAGGACCGACACAAAATAGAAGCACAAATTAGATAGAAAGAAAGAGGGTTGTGACGATCCTGGGATAACAATTTTCTCGCTGCATTTCAAAAGGGTCAGTGAAATTCGTTTCCTTTTGCTTCCTTCAATTCCATCTTCTTTTCGCTTCAATCTATATTTCCATTTTCAGCACTTCCTTAAATCTTGATGCTCATAATTTTCTTTCCTTCTTTCTTTTTCTTGTTTTTGGGGGTTATTCGTTTCTCAGGATGGTGTTTGGTTGCTCAGAAAACAGTGGACAACGTAAGGGAAATCATGGGATTGGATAATATTGTACAAAGAAATCGATAATAGACTAATCAGTTTCATGAACTTGTTTTGATGAATATTTTGTGTTTTTATGGCATGATCGAGGAACTATTCAAGATTTTGTTCATTTTTCCTTCTCTTTCCCTCTTTCCAGCGAGCAATCTTACTGAAATTAGTTTGTGTGTTCTTTCATTACATTTTCTGATCAATCATAGAGGGTACTTTTTGCTATGAATTTTCTTTTGATTTGCTTTTATCTGTTCTGCAGCATGATTTTATGAACAGTATCGATGATGGTGCTGCTTGATGTCTGATATTTTAGCGATTACAAAAGCCATTAGTATAAGCAAACACACAAAGAAAACGAAAAAAAAAAAAAGAAATCGAATCGGAGGCTGTTTCGTGTTGCTTTTGATTGGATCAAGACCTGAAAAGACTAAGCTATTTATAATTTTGACATTCCAATGGTAGAATTATAGATGATAAATGGCTTAAACATTTGGGATACTCTCCTTTTCTGTTGATCTTTTATTCCATTTCTCTTTTCATTAACTTTTTGCAGAGTGAACATGTTTATAGAAACTATAAGTCTTGGAGAAAGAGTTTTAGTTTTCATTCTCATAGTTTTGGACCCTCCTATATTGAATTTTTGAGTGATGGGTAGTCTTTGTACAATTTTTCAGATATTATAAATTTCCATCCTTCAATCTCGAATGATGTCATTTTAGCTTCAACTCGTGTTTTCTTTAACTCTGATAACAGATTTCGATTAGTAATTTGGGCTACACATCATGAAATTCAAAAACGGGAGTAAGCTGAAAATATTGAGCAAAAAGAAGGTGCCTTTAGGACCACAATGTTCTATGGAAGCGATAAGAAGCGACGGCGCCAACTATATAGTTAGACATGTTAAGTCCAAGGGTGGCAGCAACCATGCTATGGTGGAGCAGGTGTCTCAAAAGGTCATCGTACCCTGCCACACTCGTTTAGATGTTAAAGGGGCTTGGGCTCCTGGTGATGTTGTAGAGGTGTTTGATAACAACTCATGGAAAATTGCCACAATCTCAGAGGTTTTGGGAAAAATGCACGTTCTTGTCAGATTACTTGGATCCTCTCAGGAGTTTAAAGTCAGAAAAACCAATATCCGGGTTCGACAGGCATGGGAAGATGATGATGGTGCGAGGGTTATGGTTGGAAAGGTAATATCATCTATCTACCCTTTCTCCACAGTATTACTTTTTGTTCTATTAGGGGTTATGAATTGTCAAACTTATCATATATGGTGAGGAGCTTGTGTCATGATGTCGTTGAGTTCATCGTGTTGCTGAATGAGTATGCACTAATGTCGTTCGGCAACATTCACATTTATGTCTTACTTAGGAGTCATGAACTTGCATTAGCCTTTAGATTATACATTTTAATATACGAAAAAAAAAAAAAACATCAAAGCAATTTTCATATCATATTTTCTTGCAGTTTTCATGTGTTGATAACATTATAAGTGAAGAAGTTAATTTTTTTCTCGCAGGGAAACCAAAATTCTAATGGAGGGAAGCTCCATGTCAATCAAATTTTGAACCACAATCAAAATTCAACCTCTCAAGTTCAGAAGACAAACTCAAGGACCACTCTGTGGAAAAAAGATGACGGTTTTGCTGTTAGGAACAAAAGAATTCAAGATGGCTACAATGTTGGAATTCTGAAGAGATCAACAGATTGCTCGTCTAGAGCATTTTATGGAGCGAGCCATAAAGTTAGATTGATTGAGAAAGACGGGCGATATGTTAAGGTGGTTGCTGCAAGTCCAACGAAGTTGTTACCTGAACTGCAGGTAGGTCCTGTTTCATATCTTAGAGATTATCTGGGTGAAAGACATAGGCCTGAATCTCTGAATCGCAGACATGGTGGCCATTTGAAACTGGATGTCAAGGGTAAAGAACCAGTTAGCCCGGTTCGAGAACTAAACGATGGAGATAGCATTATGTGCTCTGTTGGTAGTTGCAGCATCAGTAGTGACAACTCAAGTGAGATGCCTTGTGATGTGTCTGCTGCTGTGACTGAACAAATTGCTTGTCACTTCCCTGATGATCGATCACCTCATCATTCGGGATATGAAGGCCACTGCCTCCCTACCAAAGAAGAATTGTCTGCTGAAATTCATAGGTTAGAGTTACATGCCTACCGTTGCACTATCGAGGCATTGCATGCATCAGGACCTTTGAGTTGGGAACAAGAAGTATTGATCACAAATCTTCGGCTTTCACTTAACATATCGAATGATGAACATTTAATGCAGATAAAATATTTAATCTCTGCAGATACCAGAATCCCTATTAAATGATTGAGAAATAATTCTTTTGCTTCTCTTTCATATATATGCTCCACCTCTGTTCTCATAGTGATTACTTCTCTTATGTTTTTGGAGTACCCATTTCTGATATAAACTGAATGTACAACTTAGCCAACAATTGAATCATTTTAAGCTCATTAGTCCAAGTCAATGGATTCATTTTTGCAATTGTATGATGAAAACGTTGTTATAGATATGTTGATCTGCTCAACCATTTGGAAACAACTGAGATATGCTCAGAATAAGAACATTGTCATTCTGTCACTTAGTTTCGAAAAATATGTAGTAGAGATTGTTGTCTGGAAACAATTTGACACTGTGAGCTATGTTAATTAGAACTGTTTGTGATGACTGAGCCAATGTTTTCATTACATGGCTCCTCACTACATTTCTCCATTTCAGGGTGGTTAAGATCAAGACTGGCGTCGTCTTCTTCTCGATGCCAAGCGATGGCGAATGCCGGGGAGGTTATACTTTAAACCTTTCTGCGGTGCTGTATATTCAACTCGGTACTCGAAATCAACTGCATAGCCACCACACCACAGACAACAAATATTTGGCTTCATATGTTAAACTTGGTAATGTAATTCACTTGACCATGTCACTGATACATCGTATTCAACCATTTGTTTTGAAATTCTTTTACTGTTGGATATTGTTATTACCTGGGATTTGTTTTAGAGTGTACTTTGTTTTTATGGTTTTTTTTCCCTGCTGAAAACAGCATCTAAACCAGAGGCCTTAGGTTTTTAAGAGGTTCGCCATACTAGAGGTCCCATCTCTAACAGCATCTGAGATTCAAAGTACCTAATGAAACAGAGGAGCTCTTTCCACACAACCAACCCAGTAGCCCCCATTTGATGATGATGCCTTCCAATCTTCACAATTATGATAGTTTCTCTCTCTTAAACAGAAGAAGATAAACCAACCCACAACCCTTTTTTGGCCAAATACTTTATTCATAAATCAGGACCAAGGAAACAATCTCACAGCTCGAGATAACAAAAAAAGAACAAATTGTTGAGAGAGAGAGAGAGAGGGAATGAAGATTGGCATCTTGAAAAGTAGCCAACTAGTCCTTGTTTTTGCATTTTTATAAAACAAACAAAATGGAAAAGGAGGGAGTGAGAGAGAGAGAGAGAAAGATGGGTTCTGTTGATGGGAAGGTGAATTGATGTTAATTTTGTCTGTAAGATCTTAGGAAAAAAGGGGTTGATGGGGATGAACCCTACAAGAAAGGCCACAGCATTTATGGGGCACACCAAATCCTCTGCTATTGGCTCATTAGCAACTCTTCCTCATTGGCATTCCCATGTGATCTTGCTCCCTCTGTCACACAGACACTTACACACACAGAGAAAGAGAGAGGTGTCACCTTCCAACACCTTCTCACATTCTGAAATTAGCCTTAGCCTCTGCTTCATTTCTTTATCACAACTTATCATCATCAACAACAATGAACTCAACCAACCCCTTTATATCTATACACAAATTAAGCAAATCCCCTAATTGGATATTGACAAAGACTTGAAGGTTTGCATCTTTTTTAAAAAACATAATTCGATTCTTTGAAGTAAGGGAGAGGAGGTCAGAAAGTCCCATCAAATATTGGTATCTCTGTGTGTGTGGCAAGTGATGGAAGGTGATGGCCAAGGATGTGGTTGTATTTTAGTAACAGTTATAGATTCTTATTTGGAGAGAGAAATGGCTGTTGTTGTTGTTGTTGTCACCTTTATCTCATCATACAGTGTGTTTATGTAGAAAAACAAAGTAGAAAGTACATGTGGCAGATTGCAGACCTCAACTAAAGTCTTCTCAGCAATGCCACATATCTATTATATATATAGATAGATACAAACAAGTAATCATATGACAGTTAAAATAAAAGTTATGAGGTGCTGCCTGTAAACTGCAGCACTACTGAGATATGGTGGATCGTCTTTGTGCTCAGAAGAAAGAGAAAGAAATTAGTGCATTTAATCAAGAACAGAGCTTAGCCAGCTCTTGTGCTTTGGCATAAGAGCCAATTTTGGGAAACATAAGGCATTACTCTATTGATTAGGGATCAATGGTTGATATTCCCAAGGGATCTCTCTCCCTCTCTGAACACATAACACAATCATGGCTTAGTGAAGAGAGAGACATATCATATGTGAAATAGTACACATGAATTTATTTCCTGTCAAGTAGGAGGAGAGCCACCTCCCTCCCTCCCTCATTTTGCTCATTCAAAACCTCTTACCTTCTTATTACTTCATATCATTTCACGTTTACAGAAGAGAGAGAGAGAGAGGGAAGAACAGAGAAGAAGACAGTGCCTTCTTTTACTTTTTGCTCATGTAATTATCTGATGCGAAGTTGAGTTGTCTTGAGAAGTGTAATTATTTTTTCATTATGTGCAATGGAACCAACGCAAGACACAAGACACAAGACACTTCTTTTCTCTTATATTAACACTTAATTAATCACTTTTTTCTTCTAATTAGGGATTGATTAATGAGAGACAGACAGAGAGAGAGAGAGAGAGCATGTAAGTAAAGGAGATTTGGGGATTGGAGATTGGAGACATGTAGCAATCATGCCTTACACCACAGGCTTGGAAGCATGCTTTCTTATTTAATTCCTTCACTCCAAAAAAACAAACTAAAGTTTAAAGAATACAATGTAACAAAAAGTTAGCATGGCACAAACAAAATCAAATCTTATACGATGTGTCTCTTTGGGGACCAGTATCGCGTTCGAGTAAGGAAGGGAGACATGATTAATAAAATTAAAATAAAGTGATTAGGTAGATTAAAAGGCGTTTATTGAGACGGGTGATTAGTTAGAAATTTCCATGAAATGGTGAGGATTTTCTTGGAATAATTAAAGGAAATGAGGTTTCCCAGAGAGAATGCATGCTTGTAAGGTGACAAAGGAAGCGCAGTCATGGAGCAAATTGCTCCTTTCTGTTTGTTTTTTTCCTTTTTTTTCCTCTGGGAAAGCTCTGTCTTTTTTTGCGCATAGGGCCTCTCAATCTTAACTGGCTTCCATATCAATCTTTTTACTTCTTTTTTTGTTTCCCAATTAATGCAAACCCATCAACACTTCAAATGGACACCAATATGTTACCCATTTTACTCCATACATATTCATAATAAACTTGCAACACTGTGGGGTTAGTGTACCAAGGACAAGGATCAAATACCCACCCAAACCATCTTTCATCCTTAATCCCTTGGGGTCTCTATCTTTCGAAACACAACCGGAGCTCCGTATTGCGGATACAAAAGCATCAACACCGTTGGTGCATGCTGATAAGAAGGAGCCAATCGAAATGAGAATCGTTGAACTATAATTGCTATTGCCAACTTTGCTTGCAGAAGAGCCAAGTTCTTGCCAATGCAAGCACGAAGACCATGTCCAAATGGAATGAACCCGGCTGGATGGTTTCCAGCGTGGCCCACGCCTTCTGAGAATCGCCCCGGATTGAACTCGCTCGCATCGTTCCCCCAAATATTTTGATCATGATGAACCGCTAGAATTGGGATTAAGAACTCTGTCCCCCGTGGGATCATCCGCCCTCTTAGCTCGACAACTGTCTTTGCACGTCGAATCGTAGCCACCGTCGGAGGGTACAATCGTAAGGACTCGTTCAGTATCATGCTCAGCTACCGTAACAAAAGTTTAGAGGAGTTTAGTTTTTGTTAGTAAAGAAGCAAACACCAAATTAAATGGAAAAACAATTTAGTTTGTGTATAATTAATTAACATAATACAATTTTTTGGTATAATATTTATGGCGTGACATTAATAAAATAAATAAGTAGTGCGTTTTCTTTTAATTCGTCGCATATAGTTATCATTTTAATACATAAGTCATCATTATTATTTTTGGTATGAAAAAAGGGGCTTACGATCTTGAACTTAGAAAGGTCATCTGTGGAGGGGAGAGCACGTGGACCGCACACGCTAAGAACCTCGTCACGTGCCTGAATTTGCCACTGTGGATGCATTGCGAGCAAGACAGTAGTCCACGTCAGCAGATTGGAAGTGGTCTGTTTGCCAGCAAAGAAGAAGGTTTTGCACTCTTCAACGATGTCGTGGACGGAAATATTAGTGTGTAATGAAGAAGAAGAAGATGATGAGTTGGAAGCTTGAATCATGAGCCCTAATAAATCTTTTGGCGCTTTTTCATCCATTGCCCAAATTTTCTGTGAATTCCCCTTTCGACCCTCGATCAATTTCATCAATGATTTTCTTATTTCCTTGTCTAATTTCCACGAATTAATATTGGTTCTTGTCGGCAAAAATCTGAAAATTAAACCCCAAAATAATTTGTTTAATAATAAAAAAATTTTAAAAAAAGGTGTGATTATTGAATTGTACCTGTACCCAGGAATGAAGACCTTTTGGAAAGCTTCGGAAGCTAATATCATTTGTTGAGTTTGAAGCTTGAAAATGGCTTTACCATCTTCATAGCTACTTCCAAACACTGTCTTCGTCACCACATCTTCCGCTAGCGTTTGGAACCAATCAAAAACATCAATTTCCACCTCGTCCGAGGCGCCGCCGCCTGCCATGGCCGACCATTTCTCCACCATATCCACCACACTTTCCTCCACCACCGGAATCAACAACTGTATATATATATATACCAACCAAACCAAACCCCACATGAAATAACAATTTTCTATTTTTTTTTTTTTTTTTTAATTTGAAATTCTTACCTTGAGATTCTCCATGTTGAATACGGGGGAGATGATCTTGCGATGGAGAGCCCATTTCTGATCCTTGAGAGTAAGGAGGCCGTCGCCCTCGAGCTTTTTGATGAGAGGGTGCGCTTCGTTTTTCTCGTAGAATTCTGAGTTGGTGGTCAAGATGTCTCGGATCATGTCCGGGTCGGACACCGCCACTCGAACAATGGGTCCGAACCAGATCAGAAATGTGGAGCCTAATTTCATTACAAAATGTATATGTATATATATATATATATATATATATAAAAAGAATAAAAATTAAAAAGGTAAAAAAAGAGGGGGGATTTGAATTATGGGTACCGTAAATTTTCTTCCAATGATGGTAAAAAGAGAGGACGCGGGGGAGAATATTGTGGGAGAAATTGGGCATCGGACGGGAGGTAGCGGCGAGCATCATAGAGTCCAACTCTTTGAAGTTACCGATGAAGAAACGATAAGGAGGGCCGCGAATTCCTTGGCGGAGAAAGTGTGCTTCTATCCTTCTGGGCTTCCACCACAAGGCCGCGCCCATCTTGACAGCAAGTATGAAGAGGAGGGCGCATAGGAAAGGGATCTTGATTGAGTCCAACGGCGGCGGTGGAGTGTGGTTCATTGGGTGATATTTTGGTTGCCTTATTTGGCTAAGGAATAAGGATGGTGTGTAGTATTGGAGAGTTGGTTCGTGGGATTTAAATAAATAAACAGAAAGCATGAGAGAGAGAGAGAGAGAGAGAGAGAGGAGAGAGAGGGAAGCAGCAACAAAGCCCAACGCCTTAGGGGCCCGCAATTGCAAATCTATGCGAATCACCCAAACAAAACAAATAAAATTTTCTTTTTCTTTTTCTTTTTTTTTTTCTCCATTTGTATTATAATAATATATACTTTGTTTATACTACTCGTCTTTTTTTCTTCTCTATTATTATTATTATTATTCTATTATGAGTGAACCCACCTGAAAAAAGGAAAAAAAAATAAAAATTCGTTGATGGGATTAGATTTTGCCATTGGGTATTTTTTTTTTTTATTATTGAGTTTTTTAGAAATTATTTAT